GCAGCAAATGAGGAGTGCATTGTGTTTCCCTGTATGCCGAGAGTGGCTGTCATGGTGAGCTAGCAAATCCTGCTGTAATTGGCATAGAGGAATTTTGCCAAAGTCATGGTAGCAAAGTGGTTTGTTACTTGCCTTTGCGGACTTGAGAGAGATCTGTCTTGGATATCCTCTTGTTGACCTTATGGAGTTAACTTTCATGTGTTTAGAAGGTCATGGAGAAAATCATTAATATTAGGTTGATTTGATGGCTGAAAGGTAATAAGCATTTCCTCCTTATCAGATGGGGCTTGAAAGGACTTTGAATAGCTTGATTTGTTTATCTTTTGCAATCGGTACGGCCCTTAGCAAGAGGGATTTTGTATTCCTAGTTCAGTTTGGGGAATGACATATGGTTTGTTCTCTGATGAGACTTGGAGGCTCAGTAGGATAAAAAGCAAAAAATCAGGAAATTCTGAAGTCCAGCTCCCAGCTAACTTGGCCACGTTGTGGGCTTTGGACATCTCATGCTGTAACGCTCCATGACATGAACAATAACAGATTAACATCCCCTTTTACTGGAAAGCTCAAAATAGAAAATTCGAAGTGCGTAGAGGTTGCTTGGATGGAAAGCCAAATCCCGTAAACGTGGCTTGGAACCGCGAGGGTTCCATTGGCCTTGGCAGGGCTGTGCTCGCTCTCCGTTCACGTCGAGGCATTGGTGTTTGCAGAGGTGTGGCACAAGCTTGTGTAGGACTCGCGTCGCAGTGCTGCTGTCAGAGCCTTTTGCCGTTCTTGAGTTTCTTGGATTACTTGTTGGTGAAACTTCAGGCTGCATCAGCTAAATGGTCTTTCCTTCACCCTCCATCTGGGATTTAACAAATAGGAGACTCATTCCTTAAGCCGAAGGTTTGTTGTAAAGCCGTTTAAAATGAAATCCACTCATTGTTTGAGACTCATTCGGCAAAAAAGCACTTGAAAGTCTCCCAGCGTGGGCTGTCTGAAGGCAGATGTCATGTTTGGTCTGTGGCTGTTTGCAAAGGAGGTGGGATTAAGTGCATCTACCTTGAATGACTGGGCCAAGCAGGACAGAGAGGAGCGCTGCTTCTTTCCAGGAGTGAGGCATTTCTGATGCCTCGGTTGCTTGAGGTGATGGGTGTTTTTGAAAGAAATGACGTGTATTCCCTCGCACATGCTCTGTGTTTCCAACTGTATTTTTAGGATGTCTTTGTAGCTGTAAAATATCACTAAAAGATGCAGTGATAAATAAATAAAAATGCATGAGGAACTGATTGAAAAGAAAAAGAGAGGAAGAATAAAAATGAAACCAAATTTGATGCTCTGTTTTAATGGCTGGGATTTTGCAAACTATAAACCATTGGCAAAGAATGAAACGGAGTTAGATGAAACCCACTATCCAGAGATGCTGAAGTTGTCCTGCATGGACAGCACGGCCCTTACTAGTTGGGTGGATTTGCAAAACAGACCACGACACAACCCCAAATCCCACCCAAATGTTGGAGGGGATAAAGTAATGCAGGAAATCCTTTTTCTGTCTCTAGAGAGTGGTCCCAACAAGGCACGTTGGCTGTTCGTTTCAGGGACCTGTTGTACTGAACTCTGGATCCAGAGTCCGTAGGTTTTGCTTCCTACAGCACGGATGCATGGATGACCAGACTGCAAGGCCAAAAATAAAAGGCAGTAATTTTGTGTGATGTTTTTATATGCAGTAATAATATGGTAATAGTAAAACAAAAAAATGGTAATAGTAAAAAAAAAAAAAAAGGAAAAAGGTTTCTTTTTGCTGTGGTAACAGAAGTGAAAGCCCCTAAGTTTTCAAGTGGGGCTGGGGCTTAAAGACATTTCCGCGTTTGTTTTTGTGTGGTTGTGATTGTTACGGAAACGTATTTGGGGGTGGATGGACATGGTTTTAGGTGACCTTCTTGAGTGAGTGTTGGCAATCAGTTACCGAAGGAGGCATATGTTACTAATTTTTTTTGAGATTTATGAAAGAGAGTCTCTCTTATGGTATATATAAATGGACTTTCTTATCTCAGTAAAGTTAGCTGCTTGAAGGAGTGTACTCTTTAGGGCAGGGATACTGTGAGAATGGATTTCAGCAATGATCAAATAGGTTTTATCTCATGAAATCGACACTGCATGAAATTTTATTTTAGAGTATTGATACTCTCTGCTGCAGGCCAGATGCAGCCTAGGCTGGCACGGCTAATTCACCTTGGCTACGCTCCAGCACAGCATCCTGTTTCAACAGTGGTTAAGCATGAGCTTATCTTTAAGCAGGCAGCTAAATTCTACTGGTTTCACTGTTTCTCTGGACCACAACTTCTTGACCAGGGGACAGGACAGCTGCAAGGAGAACCTCTAGCACGTTCCTCCTCCGTGATTTCTTCACCTGCGTTAGAGCGGGGCCTGTTACTGAAGAAGCGATGGAGTGCTACATGCTTGGGCTGACTTTATTTCAGGGCAAGATGTTGGGGATGTCAGTGATGCCAGCCAGGCCCTTGGTTTGGGGAGGAGTGCTCGAGAGACAATTGAAAGAGAGAATTAACATATTTTGGAAAACAGATTGCCTTTTCTGTTTGAAGTTTCCAAGAAAGCAAAGCAACCTGCCCTTCCCCCCACTTCAGATCCCACCTGTTTCATTTTTTTCCTAGAAAAATGTGAAATTCATTAACATGTGGTGAAAGCAATGTAACGACGTCATCTTGATTTAAAATCTGTTTTAAATCTTAAAATGATGGAGCCAGAATCTGAACTGCAAATAGCCTTGCTTTTGTGGGTATGAGGCAGAGTGTCAACATTACTCGAACATCTCTGTTTTGAGGAGAGTGAGCTCGGTGATAGCCTTGAGCTCCGTCAGCATCCTGTGGTGCCCTCCTGGCAGGTGCCATAGCTGCTTCTCCTCTTGCACCCTCAGCTTTGGGTCGTGGTTTCTTGCTGCCCTGTTTTATGAGAGCGGGAAATACTGCTATGATTAATTGTGTAATTTTTGTCTGTCACCTCTGTCGTCACCTTGAATGTCTCTTTAGACCCAGTGTCGCCCTGAATCTCCGTTCGCTCAGGCCGCGTGTTTAGTTCTTGCACTTTCCTCCTGACTTCTGACAGTAAAAGAAGAGAGTTAAATCACTTTCTCTCCTAGGATTTGGGATTCAAACAGCATAATCCCAACATTTAATAAGGGCAGCAAAGGTGATCCCACAACATCCCTGTGAACCTCATAGCTGTTGCCACTGTGTTGAATATAATGTTTTTGTTTGGGTTGCTTAGTGAAGGTCTGGTGCTAAGCAGAACTGCCTGCCCAAAGTTTTCCTCCTGATGCTGATCTGTGTGTCTACTCGACAATTGGAAATGCTAAAAAGTTATTTTGAGGTTTTTGACTTTCAGGAAGTATTTGGTCTCAAAATATTTGCTGGTACGAGATGACATGTGCAGGAGACTGAAGTGGGGATCTCTTACCTGATGTGGCCACTTGCTTTTATGTGTTTTAGCATGGAATTGACCTGAACGAGGATTTATTGACCCTTTTTCATTTGTATTGGCAGTTCCATCCCCACACCAATATATTGGAACACTGTTGCTTGCAGGCTAGAAGGACAAGTGTGCCATAGTAGGGATGTGTTAGGAGGAGAAGTAGTGACCCTGCTAGGAGTAAATGTCATTCCTCTGCCAGTCCCAAACCTAGGCATCATTAAATTCCCATGTGATTCTTATTTTGTGGTGGATTTTGTCTCTTAAGACCTCACCAACAATGAGTAGACTTTGAATACAAAGTAGACTTTGTCTTGATCAAATTAAAAATTGCCTGTTGTGTGGCACTTTGATGTGTGTGCCTCTCGATAATCTTCTGCTCTTTGTTTCCAAACGATCTACTGTCCTGTGAAGGGACTCTGCAGCCCAAATATCACTCGTCTGTGAATTTGGAGTGGGTAGCATGGATATTGTGGTGCAAACGCTCTCAGAGACAGATTGTGGAGCAATTTCTGGGCTTTCATATTATTTGGGTGTGAAGTCCTTTTGGGTGTGTGCTGCCCAGCCTCCCCTTTGGGAGGGCATCTTGAGAACATCTGGGTTGTCTGCTCCTCTAACCTTGAGCAAGGCAGGAGGACTCTTTGGAACCAAAAGCAGGAATCCTGTTTCAGTGTTTCTGGGGAAGAGTCAAGATAGGAAACAAGACCTCCAGAGAAGGGCAGATGTGTCAGGGAAAGTGCCTGGTAATATTTTAAGGCTGTAGTGAACTAAAGTTAGTTTAATCCATTGGCCAGAAAAAACAGTTGAAGTGGCTCAAGCCATCAGACCCCTACTGATAACATGGCGGGACATACTGATTGGGCTCTCGTTGGTCCTCGTGATCTCTCCCCAAGCTGTGGCCCTGTTGAGGGGGACAGAAATGCATCCACAGATGGTGACCAACAAGCTGGCTTCACTGAAGAGCAGAGTTGTCAAAAAAGTTAGGCTGAAGAGTGCTGGTATCTTAGTGCGTTTTATGCCCATGTGAAGCTAGAGCCCAGGCTGCTAATGTCAGCATATACAGTTTTTTTCCTCTTAACTTCTTCCCTGCAGTTAATCCCGGGAATCGATGCAGCTGCTGAAGGTGAAGCACAAATTCTCTGAAATGGAGTTGTCCATCCCCTTTCTCCCATACGTGTTCGTGTAGCCTGGTAAAGGATATACATATGCAAAGGAGAGCCCAATATATGGCCATTGTGGCTGACTGGGGTTAAATCAAAGCAGGACCGAGCAGAAGTTTTACTCAAAAAACCCCCAAAACCCCACAATTAGACTGTAAAATCCCAGGTTTGGTTTACTGTTGAGAGCCAGCTCTGGCTAGAATTACATGTCAAGTGCCTGATACTGCGGCCGCCGCTGTCAAGTGAAGGGCAGCCAAATCTGAATCCTCTTGCACCACGTGCCTGTTGGCTGGTTGAGGGACAGAAGTCTAAGATGTTTGTTTTGTTTCATGGTCTGCTCTGTTGTCTCTCTCCCCCTGCCCCATCTGGTCTCAGATGTTTGCTGCCGAGGAGAATGTAGATTTTCGGATACACGTGGAGAACCAGACACGAGCGAGGGACGACGTGAGCAGGAAGCAGCTTCGGCTCTATCAGCTCTACAGCAGGACAAGTGGGAAACACATCCAAGTGCTCGGCAGGAGGATCAGTGCCAAAGGAGAAGATGGAGATAAATATGGTAAGAATATTTACTGGGATCCCCCACACGCTGATTCAAAAGCTTAAATCCTGTATGTTGGGATGAGAAAATTCTTGGGAGAAAAATGAGAAGAGCAATATAAACCAGAGGATAAAAGGGAAAAAAACCCTTTCTGGATTAAGAACATGGGATTAGTTGTGTTGGAGCAGGCTGTCGGCCTGGCTACCAGCTGCAGGCAGTTCCCACTGTAGTGTCATGTCCCAGTTTATTAGTGTGTGATGGTGCTCGAAGAGAAAAATCTTTTTCTGCCCAATGTATGAGCTATGGTGTGTCTACTGTAATTCAGAAACGATACCCAGGCTGGTGATTGGGGATGTTCTTTCCCCATGAACTCTGGGATTCAGTTTGGGTGAATCCAGTGCTTCTGTGAAGGACTCTTGCATCTTTCCAGGGGAAGGATATTTGGGTTGAGCTGAAATTAGCAGACTTCGGAGCTTTAAGAGTACCCCAGAGCTTAGGTTGAATCTCAGGGTGTGTGGATCCTGCAGAAATGAAAATAATTGAACTTTTCCCAGGCTAGCACTGTGTTCTACTATTGTCATCGTGATTTGCACACAGGCAACATACTAGAAATGCTGCTAGCAGGCTGAACTGTGAGAAACTCTGTAATCCTGATACATTTTGAAATGGTTGCGGCAGAGATATTTTTGCTCAACTTGGTTGCTGGAAGGATTTTAGGGCTGTTCAGAGAACTGGTCCTTCTTCTCTTATGGATGTACAGCCCTGCGCATTTGCATGTGTCTGCAGAGGTGTGTGTATGTGTTGGCTGGCATGCGTGTTTACGTGGGGTTGACGGCACGTGCAGTGTTGGTGAGGTGGAGGTGGGCTACGATGACGGCAAGTCAAAATCTGGGAATGGTTATTCCCTCGGGGAGCTTCAGGCAGGGCGAGGTACACCCTGTGCCTGGCACAGAGGGCAGCTACTGCCACTGCCAGGGCGGAGGGGCAGGGTGAGCTGTGCCACGGGAGGTGACAGCTAGAAAGCACCTGGCTGGTGCGAAATGAACCCCCACGGCTGTTGGGTAGAGTCACCCAATCTCTCAGAGAAAGCCGCGAGGGCTCGTCAACCTTGTCCTTTGTCATTCCCAAATTTCCAGATAAAACAGGAGTGGAAAGTGCCACTTGGCTGCTAATTATTGTGTCATTTTATTGCATTCATCCTCTTACAGTTTGATATGTAAACTAGTCGCTGTGTGCTGGCTGCTGGCTGCCCAGGGAACGCTTTTGCCAGCGGTGACTGTCAGGTAGCGTGATGCAGTTTTCCTCTCCGTGAAAGAAGGCAGCATTTACAGTGGGGTGCAGCAGGGAAGTGTGCCCGTGAGCAGCTGACAAGTGCTAATTTATGTGTCAAAGCCCATCTTGTCCCCTTCATACATATGCAATCGTGTCTGAACAACAAATCCTCGCGCAGGAGCGTGCTCGTGACCGGTGTCGGTGCTGCACAATTGCAGAGCCTGAGATTTCCTGTCTGGGGAGCTCCCTGGTGCTGGCGTCGCTGCTCGCCACCAAATCCTTTCCACTCCTGGTTGCTTCTAACGCCTCCTTCCAAGAAGCTGGAGTGCTTTGGCCGTGGAGGCCATTTGCTGAGACCCCCGCCTGCTCCCTCCCCTGTGCCTCCTAATAAAACTCCTTGATGCGTCAAGCTGCAAAGCCTTCCCATCCTTAGCCGCGCTGAAAGGTTATGGAAATCTGTTCATCATCTTGCTTGGCACGGGAACACTTAGAGCATGATAATCGGGGAGACAGTGAGGTGGGACGTGGAGGTCCAGGATGTGACCACGCAGAGCTCCTGGCTGTGATAATGAAGGGGGAGAGATGTCAGAGTTACTGAAGTGAGAACCATCTGTGTTACAGCCAAAACTGGATACAAAGGCAATGACACAGGACTCATTATGTGCTGGGAGCCCCTCCCCCCGAGGCATTATTATGGAGTAACCTTTGATCAAGACCAGAGAGAGGCTTAAACCAGGTCTGGGGATCTCAACAGTTGCAAACTTTTGATCCACATCTCCGTCTTGCTGGTCAGATCTGCCTCTGAAGGAGGACACCTTTCCTCTCACACAGCAGATGGCTGTTTTTCCTCCTGCCCGTTTTCTCTCTCCTCTCTGTGACTGCCTCTGCGCTGGCACGGTGCGTCAGAGCCGGGCTTAGCACCCGGGAGCACCCCGCTCGTTTCTGGGCTACCTTGCCCTGGCAGACGGTGCAGCCTCCCACAGCTTCTCCGCTGTCTTAACCCTGTCCCCACTGGCAGGGGAGATGGTGGTGGAGGTGATGTGGATTGACGTCCTAAGGGTTACAGCTTTGTGAGGACGAGCATGAGCCAATCTGAGAAAAGGCAAGAGATGTAGGAAAAGGTGCCCGTGAGCCGGCTCCAGCCCTGAATTCTCCCACACCCTCAGTGACTTGAAGAGCAGGTAACATCAGGCAAGGCCAACGCAGACTTCATCTGAATCTGGGAAGCTCTGGCAAGGCTGTGGCTAAGGTCCACAGCGCTCATCACCAGCAATTAGCACTAGCCAGTTTTAAGGCTGGAGGAGCTAATAACATTTTAGCACCTCTTTCTCCTCTCCTTCACAGTGTCCAAGTGAAGAGATGTGGGGTTTTTTTCTCTTTTTTTTTTTTTTTTGCACAGATACAGCTTCCAAATGGCTGGCACAGGAAGATTGTCCTGCCTTTGAAGGGAGGTTAGTTTTATTGCAAGGTTTTATTGACTTCTGTAAAACTTCTCACCTCTTGGATGAAGAGAATGCCCAGAAAAGAGGGAAGGTGGCAGATCTCAGGCAGTGAATCGCTCATGTCCAGGCAGCCACCACCAGTACAGCAAAAGGACCAGCCAGCCCTGGCTCAGGGAGAAAAGACACCGCAGGGCTGGGGGAATTGGGCTGGAGGAAGCCCCCTTGAATGTTTGATCTGGGTCTGCAAATGCCATGTGCAAGGGAAAATGCATGCTCTGCAATGCATAGTTTTGCTGGCATAATACATCTGGTATGTAATTTTTGGTTTATGTGTTCTTCGGGGCCGAGATCTGGCCCCATGTGTCAAATTATTAAATGGCAAATTAAGTCAGTTAATAGAATTAATTGAGTCGATGTAATCCTTTTAATCAGATGAATTTGATCCCTTCTCAGATGAATTAGAATCCATTAACAGATAAGTCAGTTATTGGACTAAATTAAATCTAATAATAATGCCTGCTGCTCACAGCAACACTAATTAATCTAAATACACTTACCTATCTCCCAAGGTTTTTTTTTTTTAAGGCCTAATTGATGTTCCTAAAGTGCTCTGAGATCTTCAGATAACAGACGATCTATGTGAGCAAAATATTATCTCTTAACAGACTATAAACTAATTAAAAGACTGATCTATTTACAGATTGCATTTTTACTTTAATCTCCTCAACCTATTCAGAAGGAGTTTGCACTGGCCCAGAAAAACAATATTCCTGTTATAAGCTGTTATTACTTTACAGGTTCCTAAGTGGTCCTTTCATTCAGAAAATGAAAGGGGGAAGGAGAAAAAACAACCATTAAAGTGCTGACAAAAAAAAAAAAAAGAAAAGGACCTGGAACCTTTATATTCTACCTCCGATAAATGGTACAGATAGGGAAGAGAGGGATCAGTGACCTGAAACCTTAGATCCTTTCATTTATTTTCATTTCACAAAAGGCAGAAGACATTCTATCCTGTTTGTTCACGATCTTTGTATCCGGCGCAGTTGGGGAGACAGGGCTCTCTTGCTCGGGTGAAGGCATTTTTTGCCTCATTTGTATTTCACAGCCATGTGATTTTGTTTTAATTTGTCCCTGGCTACTGCTGTCTGGTGGGGTGATGAGAAGTAACAGCCATCAGGAGAGAGGCGAGGGGAGTCTGAGAGGTTTTGAGGCTTGCCCTCTCTGTGGAGGTAACTTTTATTTGCAGCAAGTGCTTGGATGTTCGGAAAGCTGGATGTGGTAAATTGTTGGTCGGTGTGTTCCAGGATGCTGTCCAGCGGTATGTTGTCCACTGACCTAGTCTATCACAGTTTAAAAAAACCTGTGGGTCACCTGGAATCTTATAAACCACCTAGGTTATAAACCTTCTTGTTTATAAACCTTCCAGCCTACAGTGTATAAAGCCTGCAGCAGGGGAGGCTTTGTTTGAGGACACCCCACGCACGGGGCAGCGCACAGGTATGGCAGCTCACCTCCTCAGCATCCCGTGGCTGCCAGCCTTTTCAGCCACCCGGGGTGGACCCTAGGCCAGTGAAGCCCTCTCGAAGCCCCCCCCTGGTTTCAGCGGGTTTTAGCTCAGGACTTGAGAGATGCTCCTGGGACAGGAGGCCTGGGGAGGTTAACGACACATGGGGTTGCTAGCAGGGCATCAACACATCTGCTGTCAGGCAGACCAAGGAGGGAAGCAAATTCCGGAGGTGGTGTGCATGCGTGATGCCAAGGCATTACCTACACGTCATGGGCGTTCCTGGTACAGAACATCCTGCCCCATACAGATGTGCTTTTTTGGGTGGGCACAGATGCTTGCAGCTGGCATCTGCATACATATGGGGGAAGCAAACAGCTCGGGGAGACAGGTGCCTCTTTCTTGGGGCCACCCCAGCCTGGGTGATGTGCTCCGCAGCTTGCGCTCCCCACCTCTGTCTAGCTGGAGCTTCCCGGAGATGCCAGTGGACAAGCCCATGGAGAGCACATTACAGCTGTCTAGACATCAGCCACACTCCATCCCACCAGAGATTTCATTTGCGGTAGAAGTGGGCTCCGTTCCATGAGGAGGTGTAATATGTGTGGAAAATATTATTATAGCAAAATAGTCTCCTTTAATTGACTCTAAATTTTGCAGGATTCCTTCCTAGGTTTGGGTAATCTGTACTCTCCAGAATTAATGAGCTGACATAGCACTTCTTCGGGTTTGGCAGCCTGACAGCTAATTTAGAACTCCCTAAACTCATTTCACTAATGACTCCCATTTGTTCTATCTCAAAG